GGCACCCAGCCCAGGGTGCCACCTCTGGCCCCCCCCATGCCGGGATGGGGGGACTTCGGGGTCACCGGGACATGGCCATCCCCTCCTGAAGGGGCCAGACCCCCCCAAACACCCCTCTGAATGGGACCCCTCTCCCCAAAAGCCCTTTGGGGTCCCCAGAAAGAGACTGGGGTCCCAGTAAAGGACTGGGAGGCCCCAGGAAGGGACTGAGGTCCTAGGAAAGGACTGGGGTCCCCAGGAAGGTATGGGGGGGCTCCCAGGAAGGGATCAAGGGCCTCCCCCATCAAGGGGTTGGGCGCCCCCATAACGGATTGAGGCCTCCAGTAAGGGACCAGTTCCCCCAGTAAGGGGTCAGGGCCCCTGTAAAAGATTGGAGTCCCCCATAAGGAACCAACAACTAACTCCCACAGTGAAGACTCAGGGCCCCCCATAAGGGCTCAGAGCCCCCCAGTAAAGAGTTGGGGTCCCCCATAAGGGCTCAGAGCCCCCCAGTAAGGGGTTGGGGTCTCCCATAAGGGTCCAGAGCCCCTCCAGTAAGGGAATGGGGACCTCCATAAGGGTCAGAGCCCCCAGTAAGGGTTTGGGGTACCCAATAGGAGCTCAGAGCCCCCCCAGTAAGGGGTTAGGGTCCCCCATGAGGGTTCAGAGCCCCCCCCGATAAGGGAATGGGGACCCCCATAAGCATCAGAGCCCCCCCAGTAAGGGGTTGGGGTCCCCGCTACGGGCTCAGAGCCTCCCAGTAAGGGATCAGGGCTGCCCATAAGGGCTCAGAGCCTCCCCAGTAAGGGACTGGGGACCCCCATAAGGGTCAGAGCCCCCAGTAAGGGGCTGGGGACCCCATAAGAGCCGGGGGTCCCAGTCACTCACGCGGCAGCTTGTTGACGCGCCAGGGGACGGAGGCGGTGACGTAGCCACGGCGGGCGGCGGTGACGAGGACCCAGGTGCCCAGGCGGTAGGGGACGGGCAGGACGCCGGCGCCCTCGTGGTCGGTGGTGCCGGCCGCCAGCGAGCTGCGGTTGCCGAAGACCTCCAGGGTGGCCTGGGCCAGCGGGGCCAGCGTCCCGCTCTCGTACACCTGCACCTTCAGCAGCACCTCTGCGGGGACACGGGTGACACGTGGGTGCGGGCACCCCGCATGGCGACGGGTACCCCCCAGCGTGCCCTGCCGATGGGGTGGGGGGCACCATCTCAGCAGGGCAGTGGGACCCATCCCAGTGGATCATGGCCACCACACTCATGGGTCATGGCCACCACCCCAGTTAGGTCCCAGGCACCATCCCAGCAAGACAACGGGCCCCGTCCTGGGGGGCTGTGGGTGTCATCCCTGTGCCCACCCTGTGCCCCGAAGCGGGTGGACGGGGGAGGTTATTCCTCCAGGGTGCCGTGCCCACGCGGGTGGGTGCACCCAGCCGTGTCCCCCCCAAAATCCCCTGCAAGGGGCCAGGCAGGGCCATTCCCCCTCAGGGTGCAGCTCACACGTGTCACGAGTTCAGGGGGTCTCCACCCCAGTGGGCCCCACCAGCAGCCCAGGGGTGGGTCCCCCACCCCAGTCCCCGATGCAGGGCAGGGATGGGCACGGCTTGGGGGGGTCCCCACACACCCCATGCCCCCGGCCCCCCCGTGCCGGCGCCATCCTGCGCATGAGCCCGCAGCCCTTGGCAGCCGGCCCAGCTCGGGTGCTGTCACCCCGGCAACGGCCTCCTTCCTCCCCGAGCCCC